CAGCAAAAAGAAATATTTAAGCAAAGCCAAAGTAAATGCAATTTCGGGGACCATGGGCTCCTCCTCCTCTGGGCACCAGAGACATAGTAACGTCAGTAAATATTTTCAAAGAACATTGAATCCTCTAGATAGGGTAACACATTGTAGAAGACAGCTGATTTTTTTAAATCTGCTGCCATTCGGCATTTTCCTTGACTTTGTGAAACACCACGATTCGAAGTGGTTCATTTAAAATCTCACAGCTTGGGGCGCCTGGGTGGCGCAGTCGGTTAAGCGTCCGACTTCAGTCAGGTCACGATCTCGCCGTCCGTGCGTTCGAGCCCCGCGTCGGGCTCTGGGCGGATGGCTCAGAGCCTGGAGCCTGTTTCTGATTCTGTGTCTCCCTCTCTCTCTGCCCCTCCCCCGTTCATGCTCTGTCTCTCTCTGTCCCAAAAATAAATAAAAAACGTTGAAAAAAAAATTAAAAAAAAAAAAAATCTCACAGCTTATAGTCAAGAAGCCCGTGACGATTTTTAGTGAGTCTGTTTTTCTGCATCCCGATCCCCACTCCCCTGCCTGTGCCTCCTGTGATGTGGGCCGCTCACCGAGAGCTGATCACACGACCTGAGCCAGCCCGAGGACCCCCAGCCCCCAAACTCATGAGACTGAAACAGTCACTAGGTGTGTCTGTTTCCTAGGCCTCCATAACATATCACGGCGAACTGGGTGGCTTAAAACATCAAGTTAATCATTCCCTCACGGTTCTGGAGTCCAGGAATCAAGGTGTGGGCAGGGCCGTGCTCCCCCCAGAGTCTCTGGGGAAGAATCTTTCCATGCCTCTCCCCAGTTTCTGGTAGTTGCTGGCAATCCTTGATGTTTCTTGGTTCCTTGGCTTGTTTTAACCTCTGCCTCAGTCATCACATGGCTGTCTTCTCTCTGTGTCTGTGCCTGTGGCTTCACATGGTTTCTTCTTTTTATAAGGGCACCAATCATATTGGAATAAGGACTCACCCTACTCCAGCATGACCTCTCCCTTGCAGCTTCATTATATCTACAAAGTCCCAATTTCCAAATAAGGAAAACAGGTACCAGGAACAGGGCTTCAGCATATCTTGCGGGGGTGGGGATGGGGACACAATTCACCTCGTAACACTAGATGAGAGTGAGTCTCTACCACTGCGATTGCAAGCTCCAAGCCTTGTAAGCCTGCTCATACACCGGAGAAGTAAACGAACCAAGAAATGGAGAAAGACAGAAAAAGGCAGGGTCCTAGTATTACTGAATTGCTGGAACGCATTTCTATCTGAAATCTAGTCCACCTCTCGGACTTCCCAGTAACACAAGCAACAAAATATCTTTCTGGTTTAAACACTGGGTTTCTGTCCCTTACGACTAAGAGCCCTAATCAATATATCTACTGAGGAATAATGCTATGTAATGTGAATTCAAAGAGTTCCCCATATTCGGGATGGGGAAGAGAGGGTAGGGTGTACATAAGAAAGATTGGCCATGAGCTGATAACTGTTGAAGTTAAGTGATGAGTTTAAGAAGCTCATTATTATGCCATCAAACTATTCTCTCTGTGACTACAGATGTTAAAGCAAGTGTTTAAAAAAAAAAAAAAAACAAAACTCACAGGCCTCACACTTTGAGTCTAGCACAAATCGGGACAAACCAAAGAACAGAAAAGATAGAATCAAACATAAACCGGACAATAGCAGACACGCACAGGGAATACCTGTAATATGTGAAAACCTTAGCACTCAAGTTCTTTGCAGCACACAGGGCTTTTGATTACTAGACCTGAATCTATCGAGGGCCTGACAGGGTCAGGGGATCTTAGATAACCGGGCTGGCAGATGACCACCCCAAACTATGCAGAGAAGGGCCAGCACCTTGCTTCAGCTCCAGGCAAAACAATGGAGTGCAGGGAGCCCTGCTGGAGGAATTCTCTTTCCTCCCAGCTAATCACAATAAAGCAGCTAGTATCCACAGCCAGCAATAAAGCAAGGGTGTGGCTCAGACAAAAGACCAGGTTACTCCTTCTCTAAATGTTCACGGACAACTACAGATGTTCTGACGCAAGAATATATCTCACGGTGTATAAAAACAGTCATGATTCTGCCTCAATTTAGGCAAGAGCCACCACCACTTCTGAGATCATGCCTGCCTGTTGGATTAGAGGTTCTCGACCCCAGCCACCCACTAGAATAACTGGGGATCTTTAGAAAATCCCCATGCCCGGGCTGCACTCTAGACCAATTAAATCACAATCTCTGGGAGTGGGGCCCAGGCCTTGGTCTTTCTGGAAGGCTCTTCAGTGATTCTAATGAGCAGCAAAGGCTGAGAACCACTGTCTCAGGTAGACCTAGCTCTGTAAGGTGCTCACTCACCGTAGATCTGTGCCTCGCTTCTCTGAGCATCTCCTGCCGCTAGTCAGACCACCCTCACTTTCTGATCTACTCATGTGGGTAGATCTCAATCAGTCCAGAACCTACTTCTTTCCTTTCTAGTAGTTTCCTAGGGCTGCATGACAAAATACCACAAACATGATGGCTTAGAACAACAGAAATAAACTCTCATAAATTCAGTTCTGGAGGCTGAAGTCCAAAAGCAAGGCGTTGGCAGGCCATGCTGTCTCTGAAGGCTCTACCCCAGGATCCTTCATTGTCCCCGTCTAACTTCTGGTGGTCGCTGGCAACCCGTGGGGTTACTTGGGTTTGTGGGCACGTGACTCCAATCTCTGCCTTCGTTGTCACTTAGCACTCTCCCTGTATGTCTGTGTCCTTTCTTCTTCTCTTACAAGATCATCAGTCATACTCGATTAAGAGCCCACCCTACTCCAGCAGGACCTCAACCCTTTACATCTGCAGTAACCCTATCTCCAAATAAGCTCACGTTCTGATACTTTTCAATCCAGCGCACTCTTCCTCCCCCATATAAAGCAAGTCTTAGTCTTGATCTTCATCAGAATCCATGTAGGACCTAGCTAACTGGGACCACAATGCCTTTTATTTTTTTTTTTTATTTTTATTATTTTTATTTTTTTAATTTTTTTTTCAACGTTTTTATTTATTTTTGGGACAGAGAGAGACAGAGCATGAATGGGGGAGGGGCAGAGAGAGAGGGAGACACAGAATCGGAAACAGGCTCCAGGCTCTGAGCCATCAGCCCAGAGCCTGACGCGGGGCTCGAACTCACGGACCGTGAGATCGTGACCTGGCTGAAGTCGGACGCTTAACCGACTGCGCCACCCAGGCGCCCCCACAATGCCTTTTAAAGTAAGTTTTTATTTTGAAATCATTTTAGATCTGCAGAATAGTTGCAAAGATCATAGAGCGAGTTCCTGTATGCTCTGCACCCAGCTTCCCCCAATGTTAACATCCTATAAAGCCATGGTACATTTATAAAAACTAAGAAACTGTGGCTCCTGGGTGGCTCAGTTGGTTAAGTGTCCAACTCTTCATTTCGGATCGGGTCATGATCTCACGGTTTGTGAGTTGGAGCCACAGCACAGAGCCTGCTTGGGATTCTCTCTCTCTCTCGCCCCCCCCCCCCCCCCGCTCTATCTCTGTCCCTCCCCTGCTCGTGCTCTCCCTCTCAAAATTAATAAAGTAAACATTAAAAATTTTTTTTTCATTATTACCACCAGCATGATACTATTTATTACCTTAACTATACACTTTATGCATATTTCACCAGGTATTCCGCCAAGGCCCTTGCCCTTTATCTGTCCCAGGATCCAAATCCGGATACCAAATTGCATTTAACAAAATGCTTTTCAGAATGCAAAGGGTCACAGCCAAGCTCTGATTCACAGCAGCAAAACCTCACTTCAGGCTTCCTTCCTTAGTTTACCCTCCAGTCTCTTGGCCACCCTCACATTTGCATCCAGCTGGCTGTATGTTTCATCTGTGCCTCCTTCCTGTTTGGATCTGACCACCCCAATATTTTAGTCAAGCTAGTTCGTGACGATTTTGAGGTCACGGAATCTCCTTGAGAATCCAAGAGAAGCTACAGACTCCCCTCTGAAGGACTACAAAGACAGAAACAATTTTGCGTCCAATTTCAGAGCAGATATCGATACCCAATAACCCCTCCCACTTCCCCAAGGGTCCCCACCGTAGCGTGACTTTCCACAGTCTGGCTTCCCCGGGCACTGATTCTGTAATGAAATCAGCACAGCTATTAAGCCCTCTCTCAAGACAATTTCTCCATAGCTCCTGGACACAGCAGCAGTGCTCTGTACTCTGGGTTTCGACCAACGCCAGGGGCCCTGGCCACTGTCTTGGGCTGGCAATAGACACTGAAGACAGCTGGACTCTCCCTTCTGGCCAACTTGACCGCCAGTATCGAACCTCACCAGTTTTGCTTAACCCATCACCTCTTAGGAGTCCACTTTCTCTGCGACAGAAGAAATATCCCAGAATGTAGTACTTCTCAGTCCTAAGGGCATGTCACATCACCTCGGTTTCAACTAAGAAAAGTGACCCTGGGATCTAGAGCAGTATTGGCAAGTTCTATCCGAATCAGATCTTCTGCCATTGTGAAACGGCAAGAACCTCGGAACCAAGGCCAACGCCTGCCTGTGGCGTTTCATCCTTGGAAACCGCACGTGAGTCCCTCCTTGCACATAAAAGCCAAACAACTGGTTAATACAACCCTACATGTCCTCTGAAGCCACCACATGAACCCTGGAGCAGGGCCGAGGGAAAGGGAACCTGTCCCCGCTCAATCCTCCGACGTTGGTTTGAACCTCTTGCTCCCCACAGTTCTTCAAACCCTGTTCGGTCCCACTCAGATGCTGCTCGTTTCTATCAATCTCTCATCCATGTGATAATGGTCCACGAGTCTCCTGAGCTACACTACCTGTGGGCTCCCCCGTGTCCTGGGGTCACACTTTGCCCCCTACTGCCACTCTGATGAGGCTCTCGCCAATTCTTCCAGCGTTGAGCAGAAGGGAGCAGTGTTGGAGAACAGACAGGCATAATTCCTATGGCCGGGGCTGTGTCTATTCTTACCTTCTGCAAACGGTTCCCACTCATAAAACCGGCCCATGAATGGCTTGTTGTTGTAGGATGCACACTGAACCTCCCGGATACTTCTACTGCTTTCTGGACACACCTAATAAAGCAGATATTAAACATGCGGTTAGTGTCCGTATCTCTTCACGGCCCCAGTCACACCCCAGGAGACCTCTCCAACTGTAAATGCCAGCCGTCCTCTACCAAAACCAGGGTTTCTGAAAATGTGCTGATCGCCTGCGTTAAAAATTTTAAATGCAGATCTCAAGGCTTCATTCCAAGTTTACTAAATCAGAATCTTTGGAAGGACACTAAAATTTTAACAAGCTCCCCAGGTTAAGCTTTTGCACCATAATTTGAAAACCACTAACCGAAACCTTCTGCTCCTGACAAATTGGTCTGCTCACCTACTCCAAAAAGGCCATTCATTTCCATCTGCTTGACTTTGTTCATGCCATTCCGGCTCGTGGGATAATATTCCCACAAGCATGTACAGAATCCTTACCATGCGCAGGTACTGTTTTAAACATATTACACATACTAATTCATTTAATCCTCATAGTGACCAATGAGGCCAATAGGAGTTCTGCAGATTTTTCACAGATGAGCAAACTGAGGCACAGAGGAACCGCTCAGCCAGTGAGGGCAGAGGCTGGATTTCAGGCTACGTGGTCTGGTGCCCATCCGGATGCATCTCAGTGTCCTTCCCATCTTGTCTACATTCTGGTCTAAATGCTCTCCACGATCTAATGCCAGAGCTCCCAGCCTTTAGTGCACAAAAGAATCACCCAGAGATCTCATGGGAAATGCAAAGTCCCAGGTCCCTCCCCCAAGGATGGCTAGTAAGTAAGTCTGGTGTGAGATATTTTATCAAATTATCCAGTGATCTATATTTTACCAAATTATCAGGTGATCCTGATATACTAATCAAAGAAAATATCCAGTTCCCTCTAGTTTCTTTCTTATTTACAAATGATAAATATGAACAAAGTGTGACATGAAATAAACAAATGTGAAATACAATAATAAGATCAGAGTCTCTAATTCAAATCATGGATAAAGTGTGATCTAGCTTTTTTTAAAACCTAAGTACGTTCTTATTTAAATGTGGGGGAGGGGCGCCTGGGTGGCTCAGTCAGTTAAGCGTCCAACTTCGGTTCAGGTCATGATCTCACGGTTCATGAGTTCAAGCCCCGCGTCGAGCCCCTCTGACAGCTCAGAGCCTGGAGCCTGCTTCAGATTCTGTGTCTCCCTCTGTCTGCCCCTCTGCCACTTGCACTCTGTCTCTCACATTGTCTCAAAAATAAATAAACATTAAAAAAAATTTTTTTTAATTTAAATGTGTGTGGGGTCAGTGTGTATGTTTTAATAATCAGAGGGAAAGGAATCTGGACCCTTACATGTTAAAAGCCCTGTATATAAGAAGTTTCTGGAATAAACTGCCAATAAGGCAGCTCAAACTCCTGAAGGATTTCTAAAGAAATGCACTGTACGTATCAGAAATGCCAGATCTTTTGGAGGAGGAGAGAACAGAGGGAGGAATAAAACCAGGCAGAAGGGAAAGCATCTCTTGCTTGAAAAAGGACAGTTGGGAGAGGCCGCTGGTACAAACACCCGGGGTGGTCATAACCCTGCTGCAGCCTGAGCCAAACCACATGGAGTGAGAAGCCATGTGAAGCAGAACGTGACAGAAACCGGTGGGGAAAAAAGGGCCCGGTGGACAGACAGGGTGGGCTGAGCTCTGACAATCAGTGAGAAGCCGACAGGCCGGGGAAGGCTGTCTCCATGGGTTCTGGAAGGCAAGCCTCTGGTGGCCCCCGAGCCATGAAGCGGGTAGGCGTCCAGCAACACCAGCTGTCTCCCTGAAGGATTTGGGGTTAAGATGCTTCTGACAACCCTTTGGCCAGAACTAGAGCTCGACGGGGATGTGATCAGTTGGGTGACTTGGGAGAAGCTGACATCCTTGCAACAAGAAAGAATCGCTAGGCAGGTTGTTAAAAATACAGGTTCTCAGGCCTCGCCCCACTGGGAGGGTAGGGAAAGGGCCAGGAATATATGCTTGGAGATCTGGCTCAGCCACCCCGGTACCAGAACTCAGTGGCAATGAAAAGCCACACCCAAGCCTCAATCTTACTCCATGTTAGTTAATGCCCAATCACAGTATTAGAGCAGGGACAATCACATCCAACCCTTTAATTCTGATGAGGACACTGAGGCCAGGAGAAGTGGCATAGCTCCCCAGAGGTCGTAGTGACATAGGGACAGAGCCCAGAGCACTGACCACCCACTCTGGCCATAATCAGAAACTAGAGATTCTCAGGGCGCCTGGGTGGCTCAGCTGGTTGAGCATCCGACTTCGGCTCAGGTCATGGTCTCACGGTCCGTGAGTTTGAGCCCCACGTCAGGCTCTGTGCTGACAGCTCGGAGCCTGCAGCCTGCTTCAGATCCTGTGTCTCCCTCTGTCTCTCTGCCCCTTCCCCGCTTGTGCTCTGCCTCTCTCTCTCTCTCTCAAAAATAAATAAACATTAAAAAAGAAAGAAAGAAACTAGAGATTAGCTACTGGGTTGCATCTTTTCATAATGGAAACAGACCAGAACAAGTAGCCTCAATGTCCCATTCCTCAAATAACCACACCTATGTAAAGCCAGGCTGTTCTGCAATGAGACTTCAGCCAGAAGCCTCCCTCACTCAACCTGGTGGCAGTTGCCAGAATTGGAAGCTACAGACCACAAACTCTTAGCCAGTCTGCTTAACCTCTTTCTCTTCCATCAGCAAAATATGCTAATAGGCTACACCAGGAACCAATGCATCTGTGGAATCATTCTGAATCGCTCAATACTTGATGGTCTAAATGTGTGTTTCATGACATGCAAAGCAGTCCACAACCCATTAAGTGAAAAAAAGTGCTAAGTGATTGTGTATGTGTCTGTGTCAGTGTGTGCAGAGAAAGATTAAAAGCATTATCTCTGGAAGGTGGGTTATAGATTTTTTTCTTTTCACAAAGAAAACTTTTGGCTTATTGCACTAATTTTTCTGCAATATATATGTAACGTTTATGTAATAAAAATGTATAATTACTGAATCCTTCCAAACACTTGGCCCTTTGTCAGCTTTGCACGTGCTTATAGTTGATAATCTTATGGTAGATTTTAATGTCCCACTAAAGCTCTTACTATGTCCATTTGCATCTACCAAGCCAATAGTCACCGGAGATAGATCATTCAGGGCGCCCTGTCCCAGGTCACAAACAAGTTCCTTATATCTGAGCATGGCCCAGTTACTTCCTGGGGCAAAGGGGCTTATTGTGGCATCCGACCCACAGTGGGGGGGGGGGGGGGAAGGGGGTCAGGTGCTGCAGCAGCAAATCCACTTCCAGTTGCCCAAAGGCAGCTGAGCCCAGCAAACTGCCTATGGTATCCAGCATGTGGCTAGCATGCGAAGATACAGCAGGAGAGACAGGTGCCCTGCCATGGCCCTGGGTGTCCCTAGCAGGGACTCACATGATGCTAGGGGAGCTGCCAATTAGAGGGTAGGAGAGGGACCAAGTCAGAGAAATGCAAGGCTCACAGGGTCCAGCTGTGGATGTGGGTTACTGAGATGAAATTATAGTAAAGACGATCAAAACAGAAGTCTGGGGTCACAGTGATGTTAAGAATAGCTAACCTTGGGGCACCTGGGTGGCTCAGGCGGTTGAATGTCCAGCCCTTTTGATTTCAGCTCTGGTCATGATCTCACAGTTCATAGGTTCGAGCCCTACATCGGGCCCTGTGCTGACAGTGTGGAGCCAGCTTGGGACTCTCTCTCCCTCTCTCTCAAAATAAATAAATAAATAAATAAATAAATAAATAAATAAATAAATAAAACATTAAAAAAAAAAAAAAAGAACAGCTAACTTTTACTGAGCACTTATTAAATGTCAAGCACTCCACCGCATGGTTTATGTATATTAGCTCATTTAGTCCTCACAACTATTATACCCATTTTATAGATGAGAAAGTCAAGGCAGCAAAAAGTTAAGTGAGCTGTCCAAAGCCAATGGGCTGATAAGTGGTGAATTTAGTATCTGAATAACACTTTGGATCCAGAACCCATGCCATTAACCACCATGCTATGGTGGCCCTCAAGACTGGGTGGGCAGCAAAGTTAATTTGTGATGGGTCCTCAGACAAGAGGGCCTTAACTCCTTGCCTGAGACGTCCTGGATCCCAAGGTGAGATCCAGCCTCTAAGGTCTGGGGAAGGGGCCTCAGCTGTAAGGATCAGGCAGTTGCAGATTGAGGATGAAAACCAAGCAGGGTCAGGGAAATTCTGTTTCACATCTCTTGTGGGTTACATCTGTTGGTACTTGTCATACTTTTATCGGTATATGATCTCCTCTCATTTCAACAGATTCCCTGAAGTTAAAACTTCCCGGTTACAGATCGTTTTACATTTGTTACATTTTAAGTGGGTTGCTTCCTGATGCCACAGACTGAGTCACCCTCACCTTATCAGTAATTGTCTCTATTTTACACAGCAAGTTGGCTTTGGGCAGATTTCCCACAGCCACTAATCCTTTCCATGGGCAGAGATTCTGGTCATCTTCAGGCCGGAAAAGTGGGACAAGGGAAAAGCCGGGTGGATAGAGATCAGGATCACAGGATGGGGCTAGCAAAGACCAGAGCTCTATTGCCATGGAATGCCTCCGGGAGATAACCTCCCTTCAAATGACTTCCCTCCATCCCAAAGGGGGAGAGATGTTTCCACTGGTCTCTTATGGGAAAAGGAAAAAGATGTGCTTTAATATAATAAATCCTTATAAAGCACTTCAGACCCTGTCCAAAGTTCCATCTTGACAACTGCCTAGGGTTGCTATGCGTTACAAAGAGGATTATGGAAACTCGGGCTGTGTTGCTAGTGACCCTGGTTAATCTGAGGTGACTACTGCCTGCACCTAACTTCACCGTTCAAGGGGCCTCTTGGTGACCACATACTCACCTTCTGATAATTACTTTCAGCTCCTCAGTCAACTGAAGGACTGAAGGGCATCATCCCCAATGAAGGTGGTACCAAGGGATATGACCTTGAAGTCTTCCTGGGTGAGACATGCATTTTTTTTTAT